CACAACTATAACAAGAGTAAAAAATAAGCATTAATTAGAAGTTTTATCTGTACAATGCAGAAGTAACCATAACATTTGCAAACTTTGTGTGACTTGCCTGAGTTTACTTTTCACTTAGGAATTGACTTTTCACTCAGAAATTTGACTCCATGTAAAAATAGACAAAATGTCCTAAGTACTCAAGTTTTTGAGATATATATCCCTCAGTAACTTTCCATAAAAGGGAAACACCTCCTGCCACACATTACTCATCACAGCAAAAGCATCTATATTTAATATTCCCATATCCTGCAGTTTAAATATAAATTTTTCTACATATGTAGAAAAACTCCCCTGGAAGAGGTCAGTAGGCCTGGTATGTGCCCTGGTTGGTCCAGGTTGGAGTTAGACAGGGCAGGGCAGAAATTTGGAATCTGACCAAGAGGAAACCCCTGTTCCCAAGATACAATGTTGCACTTACAAATACATCATCACTAAAGTTCTAATCTACTTTTAATGCTTCAGAATAGAGTTTAGAAAACACTATTCTCAGCTAACTGAAACAGACATAATAATGCCATTTCCTTCCCAAGTCTGAATACAAATTATTCAACTGGGGCTGTCGTCCTCATTCTCTAACTGGAAGAACTAGATAAAATTGCTGTCATACCTGATTTGTGATGACGATAAAATAAGAATAATAGATAGAATACCTACCTCATGGTAACATTACAATCATTAAATGGGGGTGGGTGGTTATTTAAAGCATGTACCACAGAGTAAATGCTTAATCATGCTAGTTCCCTCCCCAGCCTCTGCTCCTTTGAAAATAAAGCACCTAAATATCCAGCAATGTGTCTTTGCTGGAATTTAACTTGAAGCATCATAATTGTACATGGAGGAGATGAAAGACTTTAAACTTTGTTTTGTAATGTAGAATAAAGACTTACTTGGATACTGATACTATTTATTTAACTTCAAACACAAGTAAAAAAATTAAATAAAGGATCCTTTCTGAAGTAGGATTCTTTGATTCTTATTCCCATCTTAGGCTCAGGAAACACAACAATGTCTCTGGTATTATGGGTAGGTGTCAACCAACTAACAAACATTTCCCATTAGCAATTTAAATTACTTTCAGTGAAAAATACTCATAAAAGGTTTGGGGAAGAGAAAACGGGGAGAGGCTTTCTGTGAAATCAAAAAGTTGCTGGATCACTGCTTTAGGTATTACATCTCTAAATATGATAAGAATAAAATAGATGAAAAGAACATTCTTTTCATCTTTGATTAAATAGTTGCTTTTGTTTATAAAATATAAATATGTGTACAATATATAATTATGTATATGTTTGTAGGTATGTGTTCCTGTCTGTTAACAAAAGAAATCTCAGTGGGCTTACTAAGTGAAATAGATCACAAAGGAGATTTTGCTTTTTGCCATATGTTGACAATTGTTATTTCTTTGTTTTACTTGTTTTATAATTTCTTTTGCATTTTTAAATTAATTTCTTTGTTTTATAAAAGGCAAAGCCCTTGGATAAAACAAAGAACTGAATCTGACGGTCATGCTTTGCTAATTAAGATCCAGAAGTGAGCTGTTTGTTTTAGGGTAGATTGAGAATTTAAAGCATCTGGGAGGAAGCATTTAAGGAGAAACATTTAACAGCTGCTAAAGCTGAGGTATGAATACCATGTAAACAAGCCAATAAAACGCAACCTATTGTACATTAAAAAGCACAATTTTCTCGTCTGCAAGTTATGTGTTGTTTTTGTTTTTGTTGATATGCTTTAGGTTATTAAGTATGAAATGTCCGATTTCATTAAGTACTAAGTTTGACAGTTGATATTTCTGACATTTCACTTTGGCACTTCTTGTTTTATTTTTATTGTGAAGGTACATCCTCAGTCTCTCAAAGGCATGTTTTGGCTTGTGGTTATTTTTCACATTGTTTTAGAGCAATTTTTGTCAAACCATGGATAAGTCAAAAATTTGTGTTATTTTCTAATATGAGTTCTGTTGTGGAACCAATGTAGCCCAGACAGCTCAAATGATCAATGAAGTGTTTGGGGAGAATGTGGCTAATGAGCACATAGTATGTGAATGGTTTGAGAAGTTCTGTTCTGGTGATCTGAATCTTGAAATTGAGCCACGTGGGTGACCCAAGACCAAGGTGGTTAATAATAAGCTGAAAGCTGTAGTGGAAGCAAAGCCATTTCAACCTATGCATGAATTAGCAGCAAGGTTTGACATCACTATTCCAACAATATTGGACCATTTGAAATAAATTGGCAAGGTAAAGAAGCTGGATAGATGGGCTCTGGATGAATTAAATGACTGTCAGAAGAGAAATCGTCTTGAAACTTGCCTTTCTTTGCTGTCACTACATAAAAGCTAACCATTTCTACACTGTATTGTTACATGTGATGAAAAATTGATTACTTTTGACAATGGTAAGCATTTGGTACAATGACTAGATAAAGATGAAGTGTAGAAACACAGTCCATAACCAAATATTCATCCAAAAAAGCTAATGATGTCTGTTTGGTGGTCCACTGCTGGTATTATCCACTACAGCTTCATGAAACCTGGTCAGTTGATTACAGCAAATATCTACTGCAACCAGTTGGATGCAATGATTAGGATGCTTGCAATTAAGCAGCTGAGATTAGTCAATAGAGATGGGCCAATCCTCTTACAAAGTAAAATATTCAATTCTCAACGAACCCTGGAAAACGCCTTTCGTGATTTCATCATCACTTGCTCTCCAGGCTTCCTCACTGCTGGTATAAACAAGCTACCATTAAGATGGCAAAACTGTGCCAATACTTTAAGCACATACTTTGATTAACTGTACTGCTTCTTGTTTGAGTATAATAAACTACACTTTTGATTCGAAATTAGACATTTCATATTTAATTAAATAAGTATACATATATGTATGTATCTCCTTAAGAAATGAGCAATGCTCTGTAACTAAGCTATGTTTCCTTGTAGATTCTTATTTCTCAAGGTGTGACCTGTGGGCCAGCATCATCAGCATCTCCTGAGAGCCTATCAGGAATGCCGAATCTCTGGCCCCACTAAGGACCTACTTAATCAGAATCTGCATTTTAACCAACTCCCAAGGTGATTCATATGCCCACTGTAAATTTCAACAATTGTCACCACAAAAAACTAAAACCACTGGAATTCTCATTTCATTCAAGGACTCCCTTCACATCCACAGATTCTGTGTGTGCTATCATAGTAAAAACTTTACTATTTCAGTGGATCTCATATTGGACACACATTAGAATTACCCGGAAAGAAATTGTAAAAGAAGAACATTAGGCCCTACTCCAGATAATACAATTTAGTTAGTCTGAGACAGTGTTTGGGCAAAGGTTTTTTTTAAAGCTCCCCTGATAAATCAGATGTGCAACCAAAGTTGAAAACAATTGCATTATCTCATTTAATTTTCACCTGCAAACATAGATGTGTGTATTGTTATATTTTAGAGTAACTTGCTCATGATTGCAAATCATAGATTTAAAGTCAGATTTTTCTGACTTTGAAGAATTTCTCTTGCATATTATACCCACCAATGTGTTGGGGGCCTTCATGCCAGTAGCTGATTCCAAACTTCTCACTGTGTGGTTACCCCAACATCACACTCTGTGGGAAAGCTAGAGGGGCAGGACAAAAGAGTGGACTCAAGGCTAGGCAAAACTGAGATGGAAAGATGAAGAGCCATAAAACTGCTTCTCCACAAAAGTGGATCAGCTCAGTGCTGAACACTTTTAGATTATCAATGAGCAAAAATGGATCTATGAATTACAGGAGGAGCTGAATATCTACACACACTATCACCAATTGGATTTAGCAAATGGGCTTAGAAGAGACTAGCAAGAGTATTTACAAAATTACTCTGGGCACAGCTCTCAGACAAGTAACTTAAACTTATCCTTGTAGACTGCTCTATCACTGCTGAACCATCACCAGATATGGTCACCATACTTGTGAGCACGAGATGTCCTAAAGTCTGGTTACCCCAACATAGGATGACCAGTCAAAGGCCAATGGGTGGAATGTTACCACAGAGTCAGAGAGGATGTGAGTCATCCATTTCTGCATTATTTAAGCAAGTCATGTGTTGATTTTTAAAGCATTTACCATAAATGGATCTCTTCATCACCAGCTGTTCACTTTTGGTACAGGAAATATTATAAGACCATTCTTGTATGGATTTCAGTTAGTAGTTTTGCAAAGGATTTCTCTGATCTTTGGAGATGTGTACAAATAAGTCAAAAGAAATAGGCATTTTCCTTTACAAATTGTACTTGGAATAGTGTTAACTCACTCTGTCAACTGGCCCAATTCCAGGGACTGTCTCTCTCTCAGGAAGCACTGAAAATCCTAGTATAATCCTAAAATGTAAATGTTCATTTTGAAAGTCTGATTTAAATGGCAGATGTATGAAATGGCACAAAGAAAACTACCCATTGGGGACAATGAAAATGCTACAGGGTAACAGTTAAGCTATGGAAGAATGGCAATTATATAACCTAATTTGTTTTCTCATTTTATGTGATCCATTTTCTGATAGATAAATTTATATTTTTTGATACATAAGATTGTACTCACATTTCTATATGGCTACTTTAAAAAAAATAAATGTTAAAATTACACAGACTTGAAGGTCTGCCTTCTGGGGAAAACTGACATATAAGTATACCTTACTTCTGTACCAAAAAAGTAATCACATCTTTCAGTAGTGAATGACAGATGTTTTTACCTTTGAACTATGGATATATCAACCTCAAACCAATAAATTTTTTTTTGAAAAGAAAAACATGATGAGAAAACTCATGGTGAAAAATGCTTCAGTAAATAATTAGTTCCCTTTATTTTGAAATAAATGCTTTGTCTTCTAACCTCTCATTTCACTCAGTGCCACATTAATAAAGGATCACAATGTTTTAAAATACTAAGGTTTTAGCATTATTCCAGGACAAGAGCTGAATAAGAAAATAACTGAGTTTGCATATAGAAAGAAAAACTTTAGGTTTGCTTTAGGGATCCTCTGCCTGAATTTGCAAGTCCTGAAAAATCTGCTTTTTTAAATCAATGATAAACCCCTCTCCCTTGGCTCATAGATCTTTGTTTTAACTGAGCCTACAGGAGGAGTTAACACTTCTTGCTAAGCGTCCAGGAAGAGGGATTTAAAGACCCTAAATGGTGAGCGTCTGCATGTGCTAAACAAATCAGAGGCACTCTGCCCCCTGGTGGAGCGTTTCAGGGTGGGTTTTGAAGAGAGGTGTAGAAACCACTTCCAACATCCTTCCCCTGCTAACCTCTTCTCTTCTGAAAACTCTATTAGATGCCTCAATTGAAAGCTTTTGTCCCCACCAATTACACATTCATTTGGATCAACAATTTCCTCTTATATAATGTAAGAACATTCAACTACATAATCAGCCTTCATAGCTAAAATGAGAATCATAAACATCATTATTGGTTATCATAGTTTTTATACGGGTAAGAAAAAAGCAGAGAAGTGGAAAATGAGGTGCTGAGCATAGATGTGGATAGAGCCAGGGACACTGGACTCTGGAAAGACAGCTGGAAATCTCTAGACAAGGAAGAGGAGGTGGAAGAGTGTTTAAAAGTGAATTAGAGGGTGCTATAGGAAACTAAATATTTAGCAACACAGACTTGAAGGTCTGCCTTCTGGGGAAAACTGACATATAAGTATACCTTACTTCTGTACCAAAAAAGCAGTCACCTCTTTCAATGGTGGATGGCAGATGACCAGTAGAGCCACTACAAACCATCTCTTATGCTCTCTTTTGTCCTTTGGGCTGTGTGTCACCAGCCTAGAGGGTTAATTGTAAAAGGCAGCAGACCTCAATTCTAGTTTACTTCTAGTTTAGCCAAGTTTCTCTCATTCAGGCTAGTTTGATCTTCCCCAGCGCAGCCTCTCCCAAGTAGTCCTGTTTTTCTGTGCTACAGATATCTTGCACCCACAATAGAGGCAATGGGAAATAATGGCTAAGAGGAGGTACCACCTGCTCAGAGCCAAAAAAGTGTCAGGTATCTTGATAAGTGCTTAAAATGTATAGGCTCTAAGCCTTTGCAGCAACTTGTAAGTAGAGGGTATTTGAGAAGAACTACACAGCTCTAAAATGTTTTATTTGTGATTCAAACCTAGAACTTTCTGACTCCAAAATCTGCCTACCTCACCAGTCTTCAGGTAAGTCATGCTACTCTCAGGTTTTCCCCAAGCCTGCTTCTAACCCAGTTTCCCCTTTTGTGTTTTAAGCATCGTGGAGTACCTTAGAATCATATGCCTAGCCTACAAACTAAATGCTCCCTCTAAAAATGCTGATTTGAGAAACTCTTGTGATAGTGAATCTGACTTACTCTCTTTGCAGAATATGAGAACACAATCCATTTCACTCATTTTAAATTTTCTCTACAGATATAAACTGAGTCCCCCAAATCAGGGCAGTACACCCCAGTCTGCCACATATCATTTACCATCAGTCACTCTCTCATGAATGCTCAAACTCCTAAGCACAACCTCAGAATCCAATGAAACAGTCTTTTCATAATAACAGAACTACTACCAATGTTTTTTAGAACACAAATGGACTTTTATTTCATTATTTACCTCAATTTCATTTCCAATTATACATTTGCTGAAAGGTGGGATACCAAAGGCAATTTCCAGTCACAGCAAGTCCATCAAATACACATAATCTGAGATTTTACTGCTTGAGTGAATTATAGTCCTCTCAGGGTTTCCTGGTTTAAAAAGACAAAACTAAGATCATAGAGAGGAAAAGTGAAGGATATCATTCTGTAGAAAATTTGTTGAACTCAAGAAACATTCATGAGTGCAGTGTCCATTTTTAAAAAGGAAACTCTACAATTCCTAGAAACACAAGACAATAATAGTATTATTGGATGAGTATACATTCATATATTTTTGTGAAAATTTGTGCAATTAAACAATATGGAAAATGTTATTTATTACCACAGCCAATGAAAATATATTTTCATTTTTATGTAAGTTAAACATTTCCATCTCCCATTTTATGCTGTGCAAAAAAGCCATGTGTCTAATTTATGAAATAAACTATGCTATCGGCAGCAGTAACTGAAAAGGAGCTTAACAGTCTTAAGTACATACCCCTGGGATGAATTATACATTTTGCATAATCATGTGCAATGCTAGATGATGATTCTAGATCTCTTATAACTACAAGGGTTTTGCAAGCTTCTACTTCACACAATATGCCCCAAATCCAGTTAATACAGCCAAATAGTCAAGCAATAGTTTAGGTGGGTAATCTACAAAATAGCAAACAACCCATTGACTACATTGATTGTATTTTGTTAATATGAGGACACAATCATTGTAGGTGCCCTGTAAAGAAATCATTTGTAAGTGGCTATTTGTTTCAATTTATTTTTCCCCCTAAGGCTTTTAGAAGTTGACTTAATTGCCTTTTAGGCCCAAAGAAAACACAGTTGTATAAATAGAAAAACAACATATTAAAAATAAAAAACAAATGCTGTGCGCTATCCACATTCCTCCATAGGAGAAATATCACAAAAAGCAAAAAAAGAAATTTGGGGATCCAGCATAAGTATAGGCTTATCTAATGCCTAAAATTTTATCTCACTCCAGTGAGAGGTGTAAATGTTGATCAAAATTCCCTTTTTCATGCATCTTACATGAGAACCTTTCAATAGTATATTCTCAAGAGTCATTACCCCAGAGTGAAGGTCTGCACAGTAGGCACACAGTGTATTTCAGCTCAATACATCTATTGTCTGACAATCTAGACTGGGGAGTTTCAAGCAGGGAGAGAATCCATTTTACAAAGACAACTTGTTTCTGCAGACAAAAGGCATCAACTGCAGAAAACCCTCTGAAGAAACGAATGTGAATCTTCTTTGGCATATTAAATGCTGCCCATACATATATTTTTTTCTGTGCTAATAATCCTTTAGGGGTAGTTCTTTTTATTAAGATAATAATTTTTTAATATTTTAGTGTGTGACTTTACCCTGTATTCACAGAGTGAATTTGAGATATCAACTAAGTATTGTTGACATTTGAAAAGACAGATAAATTTAAAGTATTCTAGATATTATATTCATTGAGATGTCAAGTCAGTGACAAATTTACAAGGTTCAAAGTTTTGCCTGTTTCCTGATAAACTTTTTAAGTCTGAGGTTGGTTTTACAAGTTACAAAGACAACAGACTCAATTTTAGCTTCTCTTTTTCTAAAGTTCTTGCTTGTCATTTTCTAGTAATCTTTGTTCCTGCCAAAACTTCAATAGCAAAGGAAAAGAAATACGTCTAGTTTTTCTTTAATGTGGTTTTTTTAGGGCCCTTAATGCATTTTGAAGATTTCTGGAGAAGGGAGCTACTTCTCTTCATTACTTTATATGTTGGCACACAAAGGAATCACAGATGAGAAGGAGAGTGCAAATGACTATCAGAAAAAATTCTCATGCATTTTAAGATTTTTTTTTACAAGTCAAAATATACATCCTCCTATTGCCCCCCATTCCTTAATTGTCTAAGAACCATTCCTCTTTCATCAGTCTCCTTCACATCTCACTGAGTTGGATAAGGAATAAAGATACTTTTCTTGTTAAGGAACAGTGTCTACCTAATACTAATTGGTTTTACCCATTGCATTAGTAAGTAATATAGCAGCAGTTCGGGCTGAGTCACCCATCATACCCTCCATTTACGGGGATTTAGATGTGTAATTTAAATGACAGATACATGAAAGTAGAGAAAAAAAATAATGCAATCTGCAGACTTTGGCACTAGTACACATAATATTTTGTTTGAGTTGTTAAGAGTTGTGGTTTGACAATTGTTAAACAGAATTTTAAAAATTACAAATCTGCAGAAAACAATCAATAGTTATTGATTCTCAGTTTAATGATTCCCATTTCCCCTTCCCACACCCCCACACCCATATAGTTTCAAATATAATAAAAATAGAATCTCAGCATCTGAATTTTCCTGTTAACTCTTCAAGGCTTCTCTGTGCCATCCAAGCCACACATAGGGTTTGAAGCACCAAATCCACAGTTTCTCCAACAAAGTTTAAATAAACAAAAACTGAAGACCGAAGGATGTCAAAGTAACTGTTCTTAAATTAAGCTGTAACACAAAGTTCTCCCCCAAACACAGGGTATTAAGTGTCTAGTTCAAGTACTGCCAGGCTGTATGTAGATCTGTCTCAGACACGCTTCAGACAACAACTACAAGGACACTCGTTCTAGAGGGCATCATCCATGATACCAAAGCAGGGCAGGGATCCCCTTTCAGCATCAATTTTAAAAAGTTGCAACCCTCTTTGTGATTGGCTGCTGCAGGGTCAGTGCGGAACCCAAGGTTTGAGGGGAGGAAGTGAGCCTCCTCCTCAACAGGGAAGCTCTACATTTAGTTTGAACAGTTCTCCTTTCAGAGTGCTCTCTCAGAACTATCCTGGCTTCTCAGGACGCATTGCCCTGGCCCAGGAGAGAGAGCCTAGCTCTGACCCAGTAATCACTAAAGAAGATTCGACCTACCTGCGGAACCAGACCCAACTTGGTCCCCAAAGGTCACTTAGGCAACCCCACTGCAATTGGCAAGTCAACTTGTGCACTTAAAGCGTATCAGTTTATGGAACGCTTGTTTAAAGTCCTCATTGGACATGGTATAGATGATGGGGTTGATGAGGGAGTTGAGATAGCCCAACCACGTGAAGAAGTCAAAAATGGCCAGGTGGAACCAGCAGGCATCCTTGCAGATTGGCATCACCAGGGAGATAATGAAGAAGGGCAGCCAGCACACAATAAAAGCTCCCAAAATGATCCCCAGGGTCTTGGTGGCTTTGCGCTCCCTAGCGGCCATGAGTTTCTTCTTTTCCAGCAGGGCGTCGGAGATTCGCACCTTGACTTGGTTCACGTACACAGGAGACCCAGATTCGCTGGGCACGTCGGGAGCCCGTGAGTTAATAGAGGTGACTGAGGACGTGGACCCGGGGGAGTCGGTTATCAGCTGGGCTCGGGTCAGGCGCTTGCCTGTCCTGTTGGGCGTCTGCTTCAAAATCCGGGAGCGGGCTTCCACATAGATGCGGCCGTAGAGGGCGATGAGGAGCAGGGTGGGGAAGTAGAAAGCGCCCACCGTGGAGTAGACGGTGTAGAGGATGTGGTCGGTATTCACCACGCAGGACGACACTTCCTCCTCGGCTTTGGCCTGCCGCCAGAAGAAGGGCGGCAGCGAGATAGAGATGGAGAAGACCCACACCAGCGCGATCATGACCGCCGCCCTCTTGGGAGTCCTTTTAGCTGAGTATTCCACGGCGTCCGTGATGGCCCAGTAGCGGTCCAGGGCGATCACGCAGAGGTGCAGAATGGAAGCAGTGCAACAAGTGATGTCCGACGACAGCCAGAAATCACAGACCACCTGGCCCAGTGTCCAGCGGCCGGTGACTGTGTACAGGGTGCTGATGGGCATCACCAGGATAGACACGAGCAGGTCGGTGACCGCCAGGGAGGCGATCAGGTAGTTAGCCGGTGTGTGCAGCTTCCGGGTCCGGTACACTGTGGCGATCACAAAGGCATTGGAGAGCGTGGTGGCCAAGGTGATGAGCGCCAGCAGTATAACCAGCAGCACTTTCCAGGGCAGGGCGAAGGAGTCCTGGTAAATGTAGCCCTCGGCGCTGCAGTTGTGGGAGGGAGCGGTGGAGAAGTTGGCTTGAGGAACCCCGGTCAGGGAGCCCGCGGGCGGCGGCGGGGCGCACTGAGCACCCGGTTCCTCCATGGCTTTCCTCGCCCGACTTCGGAGCGCAGCTCTTAGGCATGGAGCGGACGAGGGAGAGGGCGGAAGGACCCTGGAGATCACAGGTTTGTCCCCGGTTGCTAGTCAGTTCTTTTGGTTCCACAATTACTCCTCCGCCTAAGTTCCCAGCTAAAACTAGAGGTCAAGGGTGCGGCAGCCAAAGCAGCCAAGCGCGTCCCTGCACTTCCAGCGCGCCCGGCGCTGCTGCCGCGTCCCTGGTAGCTCCTCTCCACGCCCCGTCTTAGTCCTGGGTTCCTAAGAACTGGCCCACGAAGCCTTCCTCCGGCTCCGTGGAGGTGTCTAGTGGAGACGGGTGAAATATTGCTTGAGGAGAGGGCTTCGGCCAAGTGGGGTCTCTTACCCCGGCTGCTCGGGGCTGAGCGTCTCCTAACTCGGGCGCTCCTGGATCTGCAGACTCTGGCCGCAGGAGTTTCCTAGCTGTCGATCCCAAAGCGAAGAGTCCTGGTCTTGCATTCCCGCCCCTCGCCCCAAGCTGGGGCACTTTCCTGAGGCGGCTGCTGCCGCCAGAGCTGGGTGGGGTGAAGTCTGGGAGCCGCGCTGCGCCGTGCCTCGCGTTTGAGCTTTGCCCTCCCTCTCTTTTCACGCGCTGGCTACTAGGGCGAGCTGCCCCACGGAGACGAGACCACAAGAGTGGGGACTCGCGGGCTGGAGCTGCGGCTGCTCGTGCCGCGCCGCGCCGCCGCCACCGCCACCCTGGTCCCACAGGCACCTCTGAGAGCCATGCTGCTGGGCGCGCGGGGCTGGACGACCTGGTGCGGCACACGGGGAAAGGGCAGGTGTCTGGGGGAGTTCGAGGGACGCGGCGTGCGCCAGTCCGATGGGAACGTGTGAGCTGCGGAGCGGATGGGCTCCTTATATAGAGTCCAGGTCCGGTCTGCCCGAGCCGTGCAACTCGTGCGGCGCGGCGAGTGCGGACGTCTGCTCCCCATCACCTTCCCTTTTTCTCTTTCTCTCCCTCCTTTCCTCCCTCCCTGTTCCCTTCCTGGCCGAGAAAGCTCCCGCCGGGTCCTACCGCCCTCTCTCCCCACTTCCCACCCTCGGGCCCCCCTCGCGACCCTGACAGCGCCGAGCCGCAGTTCTGGCCAGGAATGGGGATGAGGGAGTGCTGTGCTTTCCTCTGCGGGCTTCGGGGCTTGCTGCGCGTTCCGCGAGTGAGACCCACGCCCTTAGCCACGATCACAGGCTTAGCCCCTGCGTCACGTATAAGGCTCCCACCTCCCCCCACCCTCCACACCCCCAGGACGCCAGTGCTAGGTGGAGCAAGACCCAATCTCTGACTGCTCCACTCTGGAATCTTATCTAGCACTGAGGGCCACACCCAGGTTAGAAGAAGCACCAGTAATATCGCAGTGGAAGGAAAGGGTCAATATGTGCATTTTGTACATGGAGCTTCATGCTTCAAGTCATCCTTAACTCTTGGTACAAATAAAAAATAATTTTTCGTCTAGCCTTAGAAATTTGTGTTTTTCATTCGATCCTTCCTCTTTAAGTCAACAGGGAAAAAGAAAGAAAAAGCTGTCTGCAAAAATGTAAAAGTAACACAAACAGAAGCCAACTGTATGTGAAATTAAACCCTCTGCCCCACCCTCCCACTCCAATGCCTCTGGAAAATAGTTCTCAGTAAGCATGTCCCTTCTAAGAGCCTACCTAGAAAGGAGGTCATCACAATTCAAGAAAAAATGGGCACTGGAGTCAGCATAATCAGTGTGTCATTTTTGCCCTCAACAAATACACCGGGAACCAGCAAGAGATACTTAGGTCCTATGACCCTGAGCAGATCCCCTATCCTCAGTTTATCCTGCAACCCTAACAGAAACAAATGTGGGATAGAACTACAAATGAGAACATTTAAAAATAAGGCACCAGGAAAGGACAATGTATTTTCAGCTCCAAGAACTAAGTGAACCCCACTACCAATTCCTAGAGCTTAGAGCAGTGTTTGGCACTGATAATTAGAAATTATCTAATAAAAACTGCATTGTAATTGAATTTATCAGATTAAGCACAAGTGTATCTTAAAGAGAATCATTTAGTCTCAGAGCCGGAGATTATCTGATCCATTCACACAGTTTTGGAAGAAAAGTAATCCACATCCTTTGGAAAAATAGATTTTTACCCAAGGTAAGCAAGTCCAAACCCAAGTTCTGTTGATTATTAGTTCTCTCAACCAGGCAGGCAGTCCTGCAAAAAATAAAGTGCCTGCTCTATGGTGGGTATTTTTCTAGGTACCAGGGGTATGGAGGCCAAATGGGGTATATCCAGATCCAGTTTTCCAGCAGTTTACATTCTAGAAAGGGCAGACAGACAGTAACTACATGAACATGTAAATAATTAATGCTGTGTATTTGCCTATAGTGGTAAGTGTTATGAGGAAAATAATACACATCCATGTATTGACAGTGAGGGTATTCCTTTAACTAAAGAGGCAGCTCTCCAAGGACATCCTCTAGATGTGGCCTGGGCTGCAGCAGGCACCCTGAGGATAAAAGCACAGTCTACTCTTTTCTCTCTTCCAATCCTAGCTCCTAGCACTTCTGCAACCTTAAGCTTCATTTTTGCCACATTTTAAAGGATCCTCCCCATCCTCCCAACCCATCCACCTACTCCCTCCCAACGGCATCTACCTAGCTAGATAGACTTCATTATTTTCAAACTGCATAGTTCTCATAGAAACCACAGGCAAGGGAAGCAAAGCCAGCCAGCTTAAACCACTAGATGGGGGCCTTGACCAGGATGGAGGAATAGTGTGTGTGGTTGCGGGTGGGTGTGGGTTTGGGTGTGGGTAGTGGCTGCCAGAAAACTATTTTTCTGATATCTTAGGGGAGCTGGGAAAGAGGAGAGAGAACTGTTGAAGGGATGAGAGGCGGGGTAAGGAGGAGAGGAATGTTACTAGCTGCATGCAGACGTTCCTTTTTTTCATTTCTGTTCCAGGAGCTTGCGAAGGAGAAATCCACTTGTTCCTCGTAGGGTTTGGCTTTAGCTGTTTGGGGACCTGTGGCTTTCTCCCAGCCATGCTTCTGCTGCGTCGCGGAGGCCCAGACCCTGAGCATATTCTGTGATTTCTGGGCGAAGTTTGATTTGTACTCTCTGCGTCTTTGGGTTACAATTTACTGAACACATCTAGTCCTCACACAGAGATTTTGACAGAGTTCAGCGGAGAGCCACATTTCATTAACCTGGCTTCTGCATTTCACTAATTTCTTCCGCGCTTTAAAACATATAAAATGCAGTTGTTCGCACATGGTGCGTTGATGTGAAACAGCAACAGAGCAGGGAACCCTAAAAATCGGCTATGCCTGCATCACCGCTGTGGGGAGAAGCCCCTAGAACGGTCTTTGCACCAGGGGCCGCAGTCCCTAGAGGGGACTGGAGGAGGAACCTCCTCTCAAGTTTGCAGAAAATTCTGAGTACACAGGCTCTGCATGACGCTAAAGAAGGAATGAACCTGGAAAGGATTTCGAGATGGGCTACCGGAGCGCAGCAAAAGTTAGTTGAGTAGAAATAAGCTCTTGTTTGACCACCTGGCTCTAAAGCTGCGAATTAATGTGTTCCCCTTATCAGTGCCGCGCGGGTGCACTCGTAGCAGAAGCTAAGTGGATGGCAACTCTGGAACTGAAATCTGTGATCTGACACAAAGCCGGATATGACAGTAAGCTGGCTGCGGAGGAACTAGAGAAGAATCCACCCTCAAGGAGCCCTCCCCCATGCTGGGTGGAGGCGGCGGCGGCGGCGGCGGCGGCGCTGCTGCTGGTGCTGCTACTGCAGCGAAATTTCATGCTCAGCCTAGGAAGTTTAGAGCGCAGTGCTAACTAGACCCCACGAAGAGAAGCCAGGTCCGCCTGCAAGCAACCACAACAGACACCCCACAGACCTTGCAGCTACTGAACTCTCTGCCGTAGGCTGGCAGTCAGCGAACCTTAGTCAGCCTTAGCCACCCCTCTTGCCTGGATCTTGCTTTCAACATCCCTAGGGGTCTTCTACCAGAAAGTAACCCTTAAGAGAGGACCAGGCACAAGAGCAAAAAAAGTTCTGATTTTATCTTTGTTTTGCTGAAATTAAAAAAAAAGCTAGAACACTCATGCTTCTGTCACCTTGCTCTTTTGATATAGGAAAATGCAATTCTACACTCAACATCTCCAATTCTTGAAAAGTCTACATACAAGCAGTCTCTAACCACAAAATGTGTGGACCTGATAAGCTACTTCTTTCAAGTACTGCTTCCTCCATGTATGGCCAGTCTTGTGTTTTGTTTGTTTTGTTTTGTTTTTTGTTTTAAATTCCCACCTGGGAAATGGGCAGCAGAAGACCACCAGCTCTGTAAATCCTCCTGTGGTGGTAACCCCTTTCTAGTTTCTTGCTATACTTCCTTCAGTAACTATTCCTTAAAAAGTTTATTGGTGACAATGAAAGTATAATTTCTACCCAGTGCTTTGGTTCTTACCATCTTTTGTGTGTTCCACGATGAAAATACAAAAATATTCAGATAAATGAACATTTACATACATAGGTATACATGGCATTTTTGCAGACAAATTCTGGAGTTTCCAGACCACATGAAGTCCAGATCCCCTTCCATATTCATTGGCCCCACATTAGGCCTTTGCCTGGTATCTGCATCATGGTACTTGTGTGCTGTCTGCTTCATTAGAAAATTTTAGGCCTTATCAAATAAGTAAGGTAGGTGCTTTGTTCTCTAAATGCTGGGCTAGTATAACTTAATCCATGAAAATTCTGCTACATGTCTATGTACAGATACAAATATCATGTAAGCCATATTTGTATTTAAGGAAGAGTATATACAAAAATTAGAGTACATACAAAAACATATGCAACTTAGACATTTTCTAATGTCTGTCTCTGTAGTAATAGACACTTTGTTACTTTCAACAGATGAACAGATACTTGCAACAAGTAGGTTCAAAGCTAGCCTGGTTTTAACTAGGAGAAGAGCCAGCTCCCAATTAAGATCAAATCTCATATTTTCTGTAGACCTAGGTCTTAGAAGAAAATTTCTAACTTAAAGCTATTGTTAAGTAATGTAGGTAGAGGTTACATGTAGGATGGGGTACTAAATTTTTATTCTTGGACAGAATGTGATTTGGCAACAATGAGAAACCTTTGGATGGAAAAACAATGCCAATGAATCCATCAAACTTAGAAACAACTTACTGTTTGAAGATGCAGTGTCATTAGGCAGCTCAGATCAGGATGAAATCTCTCCTGAAAAGCCAAATCAAAGAATTTGATGGTGAAGTTGTCTTCCAGCCTAAGGAAAGAAGCAATAGAAATGCATAAAGAAAGGGCAAAGCCCTTATTTTGCCAAAGAAAGGCAAACTTCTTTTCAAACCAGGAAAAATTGCATCACTCGGTGCAGTTAGTTCTGGTGTTTCAAAGAAAACAAACCAAGATGTGTTTTATTGCTTCTTCACCTGTAATTCATGAATAATAATCATTATCCTTTATTGAACACAAGTACTAAGCCATATGCTATGTGTTCCTCATACATTCTTGCATTTAATTCTTATTACACTAGAAATTGTCATTATCATCTTCATTTTCTGGATGAGGAAGTTGAGGCTTAGAGAATTTAAGTAATTTTGCCAATGGCAGACAGCTGGTAAGTGATGGAACTGATTTTCAAATCCAGATCTCTCTAATTTCAGTTTCTAGCCCTTTACCAATATTCTACACTGAATCAGCCATGTGCTCAGCTTTGGCAGCTATTTTAACATACCTGTCCATGACTTTATTTCCTCTGCTTGTAATATACCATCTCTGCTCACAGCTATTTAAGTCTCCACAATAATCTTCTGTTAGATGCCTTTAAATTTTTATGTGGGAGTGAGGGTAGGCTGTGGGAGGGGTGATTGTGGTAAAAATCAGGTAGAAAATTTCTCCATGTTTACTTGTAGGTAGCTAATCATCATTTTAAAAGCAGTGTTGATAGATGATCATGTACTACATATACTGATGTCCACAGCCCAAATGGAAACCATGCTAAGCTATTTCCATGGAACAGTTTTGGCTTAACTACCTTCAGGGTGTGCTTTTATTTATTTATTTTATTTTTATATCACATCTTCTGTTGTTTTCTTTTCCCTCTTTTCTCTTCTTCTCTGTTTCCTCATCATTAACGCTTTCCCCAAACCCTGCTAGGCACACAAATATACATGCTGAAAAAAATTAATTAATTAATTAAAGTTTTTTAAGTGTATGAGTGGGATGTATTAAATACAGTGACATTCCCTGTTCACTATATTTAGCCATGTTAGTTTGAGTATTAGAAAAATAACCAGGACAATAACCTTTATTGTCCTGTGTATGTAACTTGACTTTTTTCTTCCCTATGGGTCAGCAACTCACCAAAAAAAAAAAGACATTTATTACTAGTGATAAAATTATTCAACTAAAGTTGTTTAAAGGAAATCTTACCAACCAAAAATCAGTAGTTTAATATGTTTGTTTACTAAGAACAAGATAAACACCAGAAACCTAAACAAACAAGCAAACAAAATCTAAATGCCAATGTCCTAAAACTTTTATATTTTATGCATAAAAGAGCTTCTCCTAGTCTCATTTAGCTCTTACTTCTTGCTTTATATACAGTTATAATATGTTTGGTTATGTGGCTCCCAAGACCCCTGAAGATTAGAAGCATCACATAGAAATGGATGAGAAACTATGTTAGGTAAGCATGTTTCATGCAGCAAGATGCCAGATCTATCATCTTTATTGAAAAATAGGCAGAGAAATCTAGAGTAAACTTTTGAAAAGTAAAAGCCTAAAAGAATGACAATATAGGTTGCATGTGAGGGCTCATGCCTATAATCCCAGTATTTGGGGGAAGTCCCAGGCAGGAGGCTCACTTGATACTAGAAGTTCAAGGTCAGCCTGGGCAACACAGGAGACCCTGTCTCTAAAAAAATTTTTAAAAATTAGCTAGACATGGTGGCATGCACCTATAGTCCTAACTACTTGGAAGCCTAAGGTGGAAGGATTGCTTGAACCTAGGAGCTAAGGTTACAGTGAGCTATTATTACTCCCCTGCACTCCAGACTGGGTGATAGAGTAAGAACTAGTTTCTTAAAAAGAGAGAGAGATAATAATAATAACCACATTATTATTTGTGTTGATGTAGTTAATAACATGAAATATACAGAATTGAGACTTTTATTGCAAATGAGAGAAAACAAATTTAATTATACTTAAAAATAAAAAAGAGAATTTGTTTCAAGTTTGGGACCCCACAAAATCAAAAAATGAATTGATGTACCAAGCTTTGGAAAAAATAGGAATGGAGCTGACTGATCCTTAGGAAAAACCAGCATTCTAGAACACCAGCAGGACTCTCTCCATTTTCTGTTGGTTGCTATCTGCCTGTCGACTTTTCTCATCTCTTTCATTATAGAAAGTTTTTCTCCACATTGTTGAAAACATAGCCATTAACACCTTTTGAGTTTACATCTTACAGCTTCAGTTATATTTCAAAAACGAATCTGAATCAGTTTCAAGTTCAGAAATTCTAAGAAACGGGTTCTACTTCTGAGAAATATGTAGGAGGTCATGAAAGATCAACATTCCCAGTAACAATTGAAAAAGTTGTAAATTTTTTAAATCATATTCCAAAGTTTGAAGAGTTGTAGAAGCAAGAAGAATTGGACAAACTAGAATTCTATAGAAGGAAAAGCATTTCCTAGGTAAGCTGATGATTGCTGCCTGTTTCATTTCCTTAAGGCATTTGCTGATTCTGAGCATAGGTTGTAGGTCAGACATGGTCCAGTCAGAAGGATTCTACTGGGAAAAAGAGAAACAAGTGGAGTTTTCGATAATCATTGTCCAGTACAACATGTGTACATTTGCTGTGTGTTGCAGCTGAACAGGAGACTAGAGGGATGGGTAAGAAAATTCTAACAGGCAGATTCAATTTCACACAGTTATGGAGTGCTTACAAGAAAAATTTATTTTAGAGAGAAGAGGCCTATGTTAAACATATGACTGGTCTTCCCTTCAAGTGATTTGCAAGATTTTGAGGCTCAGTGGGGCAGCGTACAGGAGTAAAGCTCAAATCTCTAGAAGCAGAACAGCATTTTGATGCTGAGGAGACAGAGACCTTCCAGGCTCTCAATCAAAACCAAAGCCCAAAGAACAGTATGAATCACAGATGGACTACGTTTAATTACAAATCAGCCTTGATGTAGCTCAATCTATGACTAGTTGATATAGTCAGTTCTTCATGCATTCAGCCTGACAAAGAAAAGGGTGAATACTGTCTGGGCAAAATAATATCATTTGAAGCCTCTAAAGTCCTTTTATATACAATATCTAATTACAATAGGAAAGCATGATATATTTTAGTGATAATAAAATGTGACCAGTAATTTTAAAAAATCCTAGATAATAGAAACAAATGGATATATAATATAGATAGTAGAGTTTAGCATGGAAGGACTTTAATATAGAGACAGTCCCTGACTACAGTGGTTCAACTTAATGATTTTCAACTTTAAAATGGTTAGGAAAGTGATATGCATTCAATAGAAACTATCCTTTGAATTTTGAATATTGACCTTTTCCTAGGCTGATGATATGTAGTACAATAAGTGCTGTCAACATGTTTAAGGTAGGCAAGGCTAAGCTATGATGTTCAGTAGGTTAAGTGAACCCATGAGGTTTAGTAGGTTAGGTGCATATTAAGTGCATTTTTGACTTGTGATATTTTCAACTTACCATGAGTTTATCAAGAGGGAACCCCATCATAAGTTGAGGAGCATCTGCAACTATTATTAATATGCTAAAAAAGGAAAATAGATAAAAAAAAGTAAAACATTTCAACAGTGAATGGGGATCTTTAAAAACAAAGTCAAATAGGTACACTAGAAATACACATACAGTACTAGCACACCAGACACAGCAGAAGACAGGATTAATAACTTTTTAAAAGTCAAAAGAAAAGTCAAAGGAAAATGTCTAAACTGAAACACAGAGAGAAAAAAAGTTGAAAAAAAAGAACAGAATGCAAAAATGGAACTGAGTCAAATAATCTGAAATACATGTACGAAAAGAGAGTAATAAGAAAATGGGAAAGAAAAAGTACTTGAAGAAATAATTTCCAAGAATTTTCAGAAATAATTAATATATCAAACAAACACAGCACTGAAGAAGCTAAGAGGATTCCAGTCAGAATAAATACAAAGAAAGTCATAGATGAGCACATAGTGATCAAACTGGTGAAAACCCAATAGCTAGGATAAAAGTCATAAAATTGCCAGAAAAAACGAAACATTATTTCAAAGGAGCACCAGTAAAAGGCTGAGATTGACTTATGAAGAGAAACTATGAAAGTCAGGAGATAATTTAATAACATAATAGCTAAAAGTTAAAAAAAAATCTGCCAACTTAGAATTCTATACCTATGGTTAATGTTCTTTAAAAATGGAGGTGAAATACAGATATTTCAGCTAAACAAGTGCAAGAGTTTGTTGAAGTAGAACAGGACTATTAGAAATAATAAAGGAGTGTGTTCAGGCTAAAAAAGTGATACCAAATGGAAGGCACAGATTTAAAGACAAAATGAAGAGCATGGGAGAGTGTATATATGTGAAGAAATACAAAAATAAATGTTTTCCAGGGCAATATGTCCGTAACAGACATAGAAGTAAAATATATGACCACGATAACTCAAAGGGATACCACCCAAAGTGAATGGGAATAAACAGAGTAAACTGTAGTAAAATTCTTACATTGTTCAAGAAGTGGGCTGGGCACTGTGGCTTATTGCGTGTGATCCTAGCACTCTGGGAGGCTGAGGTGGGTGGATGGCTCAAGGTCAGAAGTTTGAAACCAGCCTGAGCAAGAGTGAGACTCCATCTCTACTAAAAATAGAAAGAAATTAATTGGCCAACTAAAAATATATAGAAAAAATTAGCCAGGAATGGTGGTGCATGCCTGTAGTCCTAGCTACTCGGGAGGCTGAGGCAGAAGGATTGCTTGAGCCCAGGAGTTTGACGTTGCTGTGAGCTAGGCTGATGCCATGGCACTCTAGCCTGGGCAACAGAGTGAGACTCTGTCTAAGAAAAAAAAAAAAAAAAAGGAGTGATGAAGTTATTTGAGTTCAACAGAAATATATAAGACTCAATACCATAGCTTGAAACTACATAAAACAAAATTTGATGGGACTAAAAGGAATACTAGACAAGGTCACAGTAAGATTTAGAGTTTTTAACACAATTTTCTTATTAGCTAATAAAATGATAAAACAAGCAGACA